GGTTTTCCCAAACCCATAAAAAAAAAAAAAAAAAAAAAAAAGGTTCTCATTGTTTATATAGATCTCCCATATAAAAATAAAAATAAAAATTAGCACACCTCCAAAAAAATTTATGGTTCCGTCATGACCACATTAGCTGATAATTCTATAAATGTAATGTTTTATTTTAGTTCAAATAGTCAAACAATGTTGATTTCTCTCTCTCTCTCTCTCTCTCTCTCTCTAAAAAATTTAAAAAATTTATATATGATATTGGACTTGGATTATAATAAGATCAATCAGTGTTCATCATCTTCCTTCTAACCAACCAAAATAAATAACCAAATAGGAAAATAATTATAAATTTTTTTTTTTTATAACCAAATAGGAAAATACAATTGGTACGAAGTTTGGCAATTTTATAACCAACATTTAGTATAAATTAGTGTTATACCTAGAAGAAATGTCTTTTGGATATGAAATTCCACATGAATTCGAGTTACTTGTGATGGCCAAAACATATATATATTTTTAAAATCTTACTCATTCGTGTCCCAAAATGGCTGAAAACAATATAGTCATTCGATTTTCTGAAATTAAAGCCGAAAAACTTCTAGCCAAACAAACAACCTGCAAAACAAAAAGCAGAACCTAAATTAATAGCTAGGACTGGAGGAAATTAGACAGACCAACCAACAAGCTCACTGCCCAAACTCTTCACTCCAATGCAAGCAAATAAACATCTAGGCTAGCAATATTATCCCCAAAATTCAACCAACATATATCCCCTTCCTTCAAGAGTATGTAGTCAATAACTTAAATCGTTCTGGAATCTTTCGCAATCTTGGACAGCGGTCTATCTTTAGGTTCTTGAGCTTCATCATTGCCCCTTCTTCCACTATCAATTCCTCTAAAAACCATAAACATTGTAAATGTAGAATGTGCAATTGAGGAAACCCTTCTGAGGAGGAGCAAACCAGTTTTGTCCAGTTCCATGAGTTTAATCCCAAGAGAAGCATCTTTAGGTTTGGCAAGCTCCCAAGCTTAACTATTGAATCTTCCTCGAGATAGGAAGACCTTAGAGTTAGCTTGACGAGGTTTGGTGGGAATTGTTGTGGATCAAGTAGCTTCTTTATTTCCCCATCCAAATTGAGCTTGTGGAGATGCTCCAAATGAGAAATGTTTATTGTTGTTGGAAATGATCCCGCGAATTCCAGCGACAAGGATTCAAGGCAATGCAATCTTTCTATGTTGGAAACCACTGAGTTTAAATGTTCTTTCGCTAATACTACCATCTTCAGTCGTCGCAAATTAGTCATGCTGGCCAGACCACCATCTTCCATCCCTCTTCCACTATGTACATTTTTTAGGGTCCTTAAATTGTTTAAGGTATCCAACCTAATCATTGCGCGAGCTCCATGGACGAGGAGCAAATGTCTCAAATTCTTCAACTTCCAAATAACATTGGGGATACAACACCAATATACATTACGTACACAATACTTGTCATAATCTTCTACTTTAAGTGTCTGTAGATTCTTCAGTTTTCTAATTGATCGAGGTAGCTCGATTTTCTCCATATCCACTCTCATTAATACTCCTAGATACCTCAGTTGAATTAGGCTTCCTACAGCACTTAGTGCTCGAGATGGCATGGGAACACCATCTAGAACCTTGAGTAACTTGAAGTCCTTGAAAATAAAGCCACATTCTGAATACCCTATGTTGAAAAATAGAAGGGAACGTAAGTAGGGGGCATACAGATTTAGAAAAACCTGCAGATCATGTTCACCATGGATTGCAAGCCTTCGAGATTTGGCCTTTTGTGATGTTGGCGATTCAATTTTCCGCCCACTATAAATTTCAAGAAAACTTTCCTCTTTGCCCTTGGAGATAGAGAAGTCTCTGAGAACATCATGCCTGTGAACGACTTTAAGACTTCCAAGTGAGGTTAGTGTTCCTACCTGGATCATGCACCTATCAACCAACTCGTTTAAGCAATTTTCGGCAACACCTTCCGCAGCTTCTTCTCCTTGTTGTGGTAAGAATCCTTTTGCAACCAACAAATGTATCAACTTTTTCTTCGATATAGAGGAATCCTCAGGGAAAAGACCCAAATAGAGAAAACATGATTTTAAGCAGAAAGGCAAATCATTGTAGCTTAGAGCTAAAACTGCAGAAACACGATCTTGAGCGTCAATCAGGTGCCAGTCGATGTTTTCAAGCACACGTCTCCATTCCTCTACGGTCTTCCTTTTCATGGACAATAATCCTTCAAGCACCATTCGCATTGCTGACCAGTTCATGAGTCACAATAAAGTTAATTGGTCGCTTTGCTTCACCGGTTCACCTATCTGGGTTCCTTCGATTCGCTTCTTTACAGCTTTTTTGTTTTGCTGCTTTCCTTTACCCATCACTTTGGTTTACGAATCCAATTCATCGCTTTCTCTTTTTAAAATTATGTCTATACTTGGTTTTCTCACACACACACACATTGCCAATGTGTCTTAGGGTTCGAACCTAAGACCACTGATCTGCAAGTCAATACTCTTTTCCACTATTCCGTTGACGTCTATACCTGGGTTGGCCCCAGACTGTTTCATTTCCTCTGATTTCTTCTTAATTAACCTAGCAATTTTTTATATTTATGTATACCATTGGACTTATGTAGTAAATATGTCACATAAATTAATTAATAGGAAATGATCTTATTACTGAAAATCTCCCTCTATATATCTCCAACACAATCTGATGAAAGTAGGAGGGTTCACAACCAAAGCACTTCTAGCAAATAATTAGTTGATAGAACATTTGTTGATTTGTTGAAGATGCTATCTTGAACACTATTTATAGGTAAATCTAATTCCTGTTTTATTATAATCCAGCACAAAAGCGAAATACAAGTAAATTTACATGAAGATCTCCCATTAGCAGTCGATCAGTTACAGATGACCGGGCATGGAAATTTCAAATATTAATTTCAAATCCATGCAGGGCACATTTAACATTTAAAAAAAAAAGGTCGTCCCCAAGCCTCATCTGTCTATTTTTTCCCTTTATGAAATTTGTAAAAAAAGAAAATATTCAAAAAGGAGTGGGAGAGATGCTGGGCTAGGGTAAGCATACCTAAACCCTATGGTCAGCAGATGAGAGTTGAAAGCATCAGAAAACTACTAGAACCAGCAGCCAAACCACCTCAGTTTTTTAGCCACCACTTGCAGCCAGGAACTTCCTCTTGCTAACTGGCTCTTCAAGCAACACCACCACATCTGTCACCTTCTCAAACAGTTCCTCTAGCTGATTAACGCTGAACTTCCGATAGTCCAGAGGTTTTTTGTACCTTTGCTGGTAGATCGCCTCAAAGCAGCCCAAGAAAATCCGACAAGAGTAACTGACAAGAATCTCTTGCAACTCATATTTGAAATTCTCAAGACTGCGGTCATCAATTTCACATTTACCTGCTGTTCCCACATTGGTCTTTCCTTGGCTTCTCTCATCATGTTCTTCTACAACAACTCTTTCCTCCTCTGAGAACTCATCTGATGAGCCATTGCCTGTAGTAATATCCATGCACTCTTCTTGAGTCCCCTTCCCTTTCTTATTATCCTTCTTTGACAAAACCAAAGGTGGTGCACTTGGGCCTGTTTTCCAGTTTCGGAGGTAGACAAATCTCTTGTTCCCTTTTCCCTCTACAGACATTGTGTCACCCAGCTTCTTGAACAGATTTACGAGCTTGAACGCACCATACTCTGCTACATAAAGAGGCCTTCCGAAAACTTTCTGATACTCAGAAGGAACTCTGATAAGAGGCAAGCAACCTCCCGAAAGTTCAAGCAATTTTACAAGCTGTCCCTTCAGACCATTTAGGTCCCCTGGCTGAACCCACCAAGTAGATTCATTTTGATCACCAGAAATTATAGGTCCAGCAGAAACTTCATTGAGACCAGACGGGAGACTGTGTGACCTTGAAGCAGTGGGACAGCAAGGCATCATTAAGGAACTACTGTTGAATTCAGATACTGATTGTGAGACTATTGAAAAATCTCTTGAGTTGTAATAGCTTTGTGATACTCCCCTATATAAGATAGCTTCTTCTTCATTTTGGATATCTACATTATCATTGATGTGGCAACCCATGAAATACCCAGAAATATCAGAGTGACCCCCACGAGGATGCATTAAAACCTTAGTAGCAGGCACAAAGCCTTCTCCGCGTGCCACACTAGGCCAGTCCCACACAAACTTACCAGCATTGCTGAGAGCAGATGAAACACCAACTCCAGAAGGGATTACTAGGATCACAATATATCCACGTTGCCCAAGTATATGAAGCGCTGGAGCAAAATCAACATCCCCGGAGATCAGCATGATGGAAGAAGGTGGAGGATTGTCAAGGGCAAACAGGAACATATCAACCAAGATAGCCTTGTCAGCAGCATCCTTTCTTCCATTTGGAACATCAATTAGTTTAACACCAGTTCTCTGGCATCCCTCACGGAGTCGCCGGGGGAAGGCATTAAAGTCCCCATAAGCAGAAAACGTCATAACCGCTCCTTTAATTACAGGATGCACCTGCAAAGCCATTCTGATATTACCAGCTACATCTTCAGGACGGACATCACTAGGAACAGGGCAGTTCTCAATATCCCAAAGGATAGCCACAGGACCATCAGAGAAGCTTCGGCTGGGTTGGTTTGTTGGAGCTTGAAGCATGTTTGTATTTGAATCTGATATATGTGCTCCTCTTTGCTCTAAGGGTTCTGAAGGCACTATTGATGTTGATGTATTTGGGCAAGCCATCACAGTTCAAAACTCAAATGGTCCTGCTTAGGCAAGTAAAAGAAAACAGAATTAGAATGGTCCTTGAAAGAATTATAAACAACAAAGATGAACCAAAAGCAAAAAACTGCATCCCAAAGTATACAAAATCCTAAAACTTGAGCATAACTGATGCAGGGCAGTGGCAATAAGCTGCTGTCCAGCGACCCAAACCATCCCAAAATACAGAGAATAGAAGGATAAAGCAATAGAATTGAAGTTGGAACGAAGATAATTGAGTTCTAGGGCAAAATCCCAATAGAAACTCTAATGACTAAAGTCTGGAATTATATTCATAAAAAATTAAAAAAAATGAATACAAGAATCTCTTAATAGCCTATTTATACTAGAGTAAAGCAGCCTAGTGTTCCTATTTTCGGTTTATTAAGAAAACCTAACTGACAAAGGAAATTAAAAGAAAAAACGGAAATGAAACCAACTCCTAGTATGAATAGGAAAGGAAAGAAAAACATAATTCAAAATAAGTAGAACCTTAGCCCAATTGACTAACAGGCCCAAGAACTCTTGAACAGCCTTGTGGATGCTCCTGCAACAATAACTCTTTTACTATTTTTGAAAAGTTAGGATTGAAGTTATACCCAATTGGTTTGCTTAGCTGGAACTTTATAATATTCAAAATCGCAAATGGCATAAAACTATACATATTGACTACTTGACAAATGTTGGTTATAATCTAAATGCCGCAGTAATTAGATATAGACAACCTGCCCTCCCAATGTCTCAAGCATATTTTCTAAGGCAATTAATCACAGAATGAAGGTCTGTTTCAAATTAAACCAAACTGGTTTGTTGAACTGGAATTCAAAAACCAAGTAGGCTTTAGGCTTGCACTTAAAAGGTTTAGACCATTAAAAGTAAACAGACAACTTAAAGCGAATGCAGTGTACGTTGTTGCCTAGAAACTATTTAATGCACCGATAATTGCTCATATGTCATTATTCTTATAGTGCAGTCATTTTCTTGTTTAGTAAGTCTTTCTTCATAGTAGAATATAATAATTAATCAGTTATCCAACAGTGGACTTAACATTGAAATCTTAATTTGAGTGCGTAAGTTACAAAATAAACAGAAGACAGCTAATGAAAACTAGCCATCAACCACCTTATCCCCCTCCCTCTCACTCACCCATCACCTTCTCTCTCTTTCTAAACTCTGTCACAATCAGAATCTACGTTTAAAACTCACTCTGTCTTTAGCCCTCAATCAGATTATTTTCAATCTCTAAGTCTCTATTGGCGATCTCAATTCAAGCTTGATCCATAGTGCAACTCCAAGCTCAAAGGTAATGAAACCTTCAATTGTTAGGTTTGCTTAACCTTCCTTATTCTTTCTAGACTTTCCTTTGTGTTTTTATTTTATTTTAATAATGGTGAATATCATTGTTACATGTTACATAAGCTCTACATAAGGACTACTGGTATTTGATTGAAGGTTAAATTATTATTTTCAGTGCAACGTGCTTGTAATCATTAAGATCAGTAACTTTCAATACCAGATGTATGCACCATGCTTTGAAGCTGTCCTATTAATCATAGCTCGTGCAACAGTATAACAAATAAGCAAACTTTCAGATTGAATTCTAAATTGCAATCCATCAACTTCAACCAAGTTCCAGCCTACAGAAGGACTCTGTTTACTAACTGAGAATCTTGCAGAATTCACAAAAACGTACAAATTTTCTAATCATGTGTTTTGTGCCCAACTTATTATCCAAATCCAATAGTGGCAGAACCGTTCAATCAAACGCATCAACAAAACAGACCCATGAGACTGAAACAATAATAATCCCGAAATCAATCTATATTCCATAATCAGATAAAAATCATCATAGGAAATTTAACACCACAGATAGAATTCTAAATTAAAAACTAAACAACAAAATTCGAGACAAAAGGGTACCTCATATTTTAGCTGCCGCTCCTCTTCAAAGTACGATTGCTTCCCCAAAAGCCAAAAAAACTTAGATCCTAAATACTAAAGCGACTGGATAATTATCAGAGAGAAATCTGAAATCAAACAAAAACCCACAAAAATTCGAACCACAAAAACAGAAATTGATTAGATATATCGGAAACTTGGGAAGAAGGAAGGCTTCTGGATAATGGGTATTTGAGGATTTATCTGAGAAACTGAGATTTTATAGTTTTTTTCTTTCTTTTTTCTAAGGAAAGCGGTGAGAGACTCAGAATTTATATAACACTTTGATTAAGAGTAGGGACTGACTAAAACTCATACCTACTTTTTGATTTTCAGCAACAACCAAGAAAACTGTAGATTTGGGCTTCTGAAGATGAAGCCCAGAGAAGGAGTGCGGATTGTGATTTTGGGGGGGTTTTTAACTTTTTACTGCCACTGAAAGTCGAGAGAATACCAGATTATACAGAGAGGCTTTTGAGTTGGAGGCTTCACAGCTTTTTCCTTTTTTGGGGTTATAAAGGTTTCTTGTTTCTGATTTTTGATAGATTTTCACGCGTATTTTAAAACCGACATATTGGACAATTCTTCTGCTCAGATTCCTTGCCTTTCCCGTATTTTACTTCTCTTTCTTTTGTAAGCAGTCTTAAGATGAGACAGATTTCATGGGTTTTCTTAGAGGTTTCCTTTTCCATTAGATAGTATGAAAATATTACGCACATCAACTCTTATTTCTACTCTTATCACGCGCGGCGAATTTCTCGAAAGAGCATTGCTTGACTCCTTAAAATCATTATGTAAGATATGTGCAGGACATACTCTATACAAGAGAGGTAGGAAAATTAAGGGTGTTTTAATCTCCATTAATTGGTAAGTATTTAAGGGTTGTTTTAATACCCAAATAATTCATTCCATCAAATTAGGAAGACAATACATCATCATCAAGGGAAGAGAACGCACAATTTGGTCTTTTCTTGGACAGTGTAAACCTAATTAGATGATGAGAAATATTCTTTATCATATTGTACATATGAACCTTTGATTAGCTATATATTCTTGTTACGTGTTGTTTAAATTCACAGCTTGAAAACATAAGCATTTTTCTAGCAATGTAAATTTGGTAAGAGAAAGTCGCCCGCTACAAAGTAAGAGGACTGATTATAGTCAAATGAGAAGTTTCAAAAAGATACTTAAAGGGGAGATGTGCCCTTTGCGTAATAATAATGCTCTAAGTAAATCTAATGCCATAAATGGGTGTTCAATAGAGGTCACGTCATTGTCCAGATTCAAGAGGGATGCCTCGTTACTCTCTGAGTAATTATTACTGTTTAGGAAATGGGAAGCACAAGAATCAAACTTGTAAAGAGCTTCTTTTTTCTTTTTTCTTTGTGTCGAAGGATGAAATTTTATTACGAAAAACTCACCCAATAGAATGGTACAAATACAACAATACAAGCAACTCAGTAAGGAAGCACAAATTTAATCTGCAATATCAGATGAACATGAGCAACAAACTGCCTTAAATAATGATATAAACATATAAACAAAATTAAAAATTGATAAAAACTAACAAAATTAAAAACAACATAGCAACAAAAACGACATAAAAGCACAAGCATCACCAAACAACCACCATAAACCAACAACACTCAAGGCACCCCAAGGCAAAACAAATAGAACCATCAAGACAGGAAGGAGGTGGTGCAAGCACCCGAGCCGTAGCAGTGTCATGATGGCTCCACACACCTTCCAAGATAATCGCGAGAAATCACTTTACGGGTTATCTGCTACAACAAAGGAAGTAGGAACCGATTGGAGAACAACCAAGGGATGACACTAAGCAGAAGGGAATGGTAGAAATTTTGGACAACAATAATGAAAGGAGGCATGAAACCCCAGCAGAGAGGCATAAAGCCCAACAAAGAGGCAAGAAGCCCCAAAAACGAGTAGGAAAGCTTGAGCACGAACCGCGAAAGATAATCAAAAACCAAGGAAGAGAGATGGGGGGAAGGGTAGAGACCTTCTCCCCCACCAAGAGGAGATGCGGCGCTGGATCTGGAGAGCCCAAGTTTTGCTAGGTAGTAAAGAGTTCAATCTCAACTCGGCAGTTGTAAAGAGTTCAAATCCTAGACCTACCTCATAGGGTTATTGCAATAGTAAGATCAGCAAATAATACTCACACTAGACCTCACGATATGCAACAATAATTAGCCAAACAGTGTTCTTGGATCCAGATAACCTTTTTTGATGCTTTCATAGAGCAGAGCAACATGGCCACTTGCATATATCAATGTAACAGGAATGTTGTACGAAATCTGCAACTAGATTTGTTCCAACATGAAGAAATTGATACACAATTCTGCCACATGGGAGGACCCAAAAACCAATTTGGAGATCAACTATCAACCTTGTTTTTGTTTCAAATGAATCATTAACTCTACTATCACCAAACACTGTTCAAGCCAATAAACTGGGGATGAACAATCAGCAAACTTTTAGTTACAAAAATGTCTCACTATTTTCAGCCAATGCCTCAAATATAACAATGCCAAAGAGAAGGTGCAAGAAACGATGGAAACTAAGTAAGACCTAAACTGGTAAGGAACTAGGCATATGTCTAAGATATATGTACAACCTGTATAATCCCATTTGAATACTCAAGTAGTAGGAAGTGAGAAATCAGCTCTACTGATGATTGTTGTCAACTTCTCTGGCACGAATCGGTGAATGGTTACGACTTCAGGACCCTCTCAATGGCGGCAACATAGAACTCCTTGGGCATGGTACCAACCACAGTGTCACATTTCTTCCCATTCTTAAACAGCAAAACTACAGGTACAGCCTTAATTTCATTGTCCTCAGCAACCTGCAGATCAACATCTGTGTTGAGCACAAAGCATTTAAGCTTCCCAGCATATTCAACCGCAATTTCATCAATCACCCGGTGCACCATCCTACACGGCCCACACCAGCTCGCGTAAAATTCAACAAGGACAGGTGTTTCACTGTTGATGACTGATTTCTCCCAGGAGTCTCCGGTAACCGCTGTTGCTGCATACAGACAACTTGATACAGTTAAGAGGGGCCATCCACCATTGTGGACCACATCTAGCAAAAGATTATAAGCAATATGCTAATGTAAAAAATTGACATGGGTGGGGAGAGCAATAGCATATTCATATTGTGCCCCAGGAGACACACCTACAATTTTTCCAACCCTTGATGATTTCTAAGAGACACAAACTCATAATATAATAATTTCATATCCCAAATATACAAACACACCAATCTCTCTCAAGGAAATCTCAAGATAAACAAAAAATCTAGAGGGATCTAGTCTTATCACTTCACACTACATATATATGCAATCAACTAATCTATCAATCAATTTTCATATATTTATGCAATCACCAAGAGAGGAAGATAACCCCACATCCTTCCATTCAAAACCGAATTTAAGCATCAAAGTGAAGTTTTGGGCCCAATTGTTGGATACCCAAATGCTAATATGCCTTGAGGAAACTAAAAATCCGTCAAAGCAAGCGAATTATTGCCACAATAGAAAACACTATGCATCCATAAAAATAACTCGTAAACAGATAAATCAATCAACTAATCAACCAACCATAGAGCACATAAGAAATGGAAGGCTTAATGGATTAGATCTACTATGAACATTAACAAATAAAAGAGGAGAAGGATCAGAAATTACCTTTGGATTCGCGCAGAGAAAAGATCGTGAGGCTGCGAGGAGGAGCATTTGGAAGGCCAATAAGTCCCCTTTTGGGCTGCAACCGGAAAGGAAATGAAAGATTCGGCGAAGGGTTTAGGTGAGAGTGGGAGAGGAAAGGCGAGAGCATTGGGTTCTGTAGGGCACGCGAGCGCAACGAAGTTGAACAGTGGAATGTGGAGGCAGCCATGGTAGCTGAGCAGCACCAGCAGCGAGATGCAGAGAGATTGAGAGAGCTGATGAAAATGGTGGAGATGCGTGTGAAGAAGTAAAATAACAATTTGGGCAGTTTTTTTTTATGATGATCTAGTGACAGTGATTGGTGGAGAATAAGACAAATGAGGGACCCACTTATTGTTTTTGATTGGGAAATTGATGGTTGGATTATGCGGGAAAAATATATAGAAACGTTAAAAACAATTGCACGCCCGGTGGGATTCGAACCCACAATCCTTTGATTAGAAGTCAAATGCCTTATCCATTAGGCCACGGGCGCTCTTGTATGCTAACCCATCCCTCAAACACTATAATAACAACTTGGACCCTAACTTTACAATTAATTTTTAAATTTATATTTTGCGGTAAGCTATTTCTTTGGATTTTTTGTTTCCTTTATACAAGCATATTTTACGCTACTCTGATCCATGAGGCGAGGGAACCCGAACTTGTGTGCAAGGGGACAAACTCACTATCTTGTCAACTGGCCTAACTCACATATGCATTTCTTTTTATCTCCAAATGAGAAGATATTGAAGTCGAACCTCTTCTAACATTTGCTATATCAAAATACAACTAGATAAAAGACCCATATCCAACTGGCGGAATTGTGATCATATCTCAAATTGTATTTTGAATGCAACGGTTCTCATCTTTATGATATATCATCCGAATCAAAGCTCTTGATATAAAATGAATATGCATCAAGGCATTTTGTGTTTTAGGAAAACAACAAAAAGTGGTTGGATTGTAGAGGCTCATACCCATGTCGAGACTTTATTCTTATCCTTTCAACTAAAGAAAGTGGTTGGATGTTTTTTATTTAGTGAGAAATTTGAGGGGAACATTTCAAGAGAACAACATTTGAATGAACAAGGACCAAGCATTTTGGCTGCTATTTCTTTCACAGAGATTCATTGTATTACTACAACATTACATTCTGAATACACCGTACTTGGTTTCTTCTGGGTCACGGTTCATAGAAGCAGAGATGGAGAGGCCTAAGACTTTTCTCGTGTCGGCCGGATCGATAATTCCATCGTCCCACAGCCTTGCCGTGGAGTAATAGGAGTTTCCTTCCCTCTCATATGCCTCCACTACCTTTGCCTTGAATTTTTCCTCTTCTTCCTTGTCCCACTGCAATACATGCACATGACACAGATAAATAAGAGAACACAGTGATTGTTTCTTAAACCAAGCTTTTATCATAGACGTAATTATAACCTCAATTCCTTGCTTTTTCTTATTGCCCCTTTCTATTTGAGCAAGGACACCAGCAGCCTGAGCATTTAAATAAAAATATGTCAATCCATACCTAAGGAAGCTGTTAGTGAAAAGTGATGCAACTCAGGGAATGAACTATACGTGCTATGAATTGGATTAAAAAAACAGATCTATTGGGATATGCAAAGTCGGGAAGATAATGCAATACACATAAAATATACTAAAAAACAAATCACACATATGTTGTATGGAAAAGGTCACCTGAGCACCACCCATCACAGATATTCTGGCATTCGGCCAAAGGTACATGAAATCAGGACTATAAGCACGACCACACATTGCATAATTGCCAGCACCAAAGCTTCCACCAACAATGATAGTAACCTTGGGAACCTGTAAACATTAATCACTAAAATTAGACAAGTAAATCTTAATTCTTCCTTTCTCTCCTATTGCTATTTGAGATTCATAATTAATTAAGTCATAAAAGAAGAACCAATAACTTTTCTTAAAAGAAAACATTGTGTAACTTCAAAGAAAACAATGCAATGGGAGCAAAAGTCATTTAAAGAAAATTTTTGATATCTATCTTGAAGAGAAAAGGAAGCCCTTTTGAGCTAGCATCATAAAGTTGATAATTGTACTATACATTTTTGAACGCGTATGGGAAAAAAATTTACTGATACTACAATAACAAATTCAGGTGGACCTAGTATGTGGGAAGGAAAAAACTTCCAATAGCTAATGACCTGATAAGATGCTTCGATTTCTCCAGTTAGGCAATATACGAGTTTAAGATCGGTAGCAATAACACTCTTAAGACGAGCATATTCACATAAGGGGGGGAAAGATGCTCTTAATCACACAAGAACATACACTAACAATGAAATGAGGAAGAACGAACCTTGGCACAAGAAACCGCCATCACCATTTTTGCTCCAGATTTTGCTATACCATTTGCCTCTGATCTCGAGCCAACCTACCAAATGAATAACTGTTATTGTTCCATGCCTCCACCACCTGGCTTGCTGTTCTATCTTTGTTTGGTGAGAGCTTGATGTTTTATATAATTATATTACAACTATGTGATAATGCGTACAACGATGTAGTAAGGAGAAGAGCACTGTTATCCTTATTTAATTTCTAAAGTAACTGATAGAAAGAAAAAACTTCTAATGTTAAATTCAAACCACTAAAATAATAAAAACTCATTTTCTTCTTCTCCACAAATGGCCAAATCATCAAAATTGCAAATTTTGAATGACAGAAGTTACTGCTATTGTATGCAATTGAACCAAAACAAAACTACTATGATTAAATGTGAAAAGTGAATCCAAAAACCTAACTACAACCTGAGTGACTGAATCCATTTTATTTCCGTTTTACTGCATTTCTCCTGATTTACCTATATGTTGAAACTTTTTAAGTTCAAAGATATTTAAATACCTTTACACGTAAATCTCAAGCAACCTTTTCAATGGATATAATGATTATATAACTTTCCCATTCTCAATCAAAAAACTTATGGTAAGCATGGCTTCCTCATTCTAGAATGTACCACATAAGCAAAGCAAATAAGAGACTTATTAGACAGATTCAAAGCGTGCCCCTCTTCAAAATAGCACAGTGGTGTTGATAGCTTCTTCAGTAAGAGAGTAACAGAAAAATGACCAAGCTTACATACCATAAATCCAGTGATGTTCTGAAGGAAGACCAAAGGAATGTTTCGTTGAGTACATAATTCAATGAAATGGGCCCCCTTTAGAGCAGACTCATTAAATAATATCCCGTTGTTCCCAATAATTCCCACAGGCTGCCCAAAGATTCTGCCAAAACCTGTTACAAGAGTCTGCACAGATGCTATTGAAATTACAAAACTCATAAATTAAACGAGAATAAATTTTAAAAAGTCAGAATTGAAAATGGTGCAAATGCCCTCACAGTGCCATACAATTTCTTGAATTCATCAAATTCGCTTCCATCGACAATGCGAGCAATAACTGATCGGATATCGAACTGCTGCTTATGATCGGTTGGTGCGATGGAACGAAGTTCCTTTACATCATATAATGGTTCCTGATATTCAGAACTTATACTCTGCAACCCGCTTTTCAAGCCTCTCGCTGCCATGTGCAAGTTTTTAATAATATTCCTCCCAAGAGCAAGTCCATGGAGTTCATCTACAAGAAAACTTGAGATTATACATGTGATCTCTAATGGATAACCTCCCTGCCTCGCACCTCCCTCCACATACATGCATTATGCATAGAATAATAATTCTAATAGGTCAAGAAAAATAACATGTGATCTAAATTCAACAGTTTAAATTTTGCACATTTCAAATACCACTCCAATCACGTGATAATACCTTCTCTAAGACATTATACAAACTTGTAAACCAAATGGCTAGACTTTCATATACGTTGTGATAGTATTTCAAAATTTTCACATTATAACTAATAACAAAGCTTTCCATTAATTATTAACATGTCAGGTTAGAACCTAAAGTAAGCAGAGTGAGATGATAGTTTCAAAGAAATGTATGTGAGGTTTAAAGTATAAAATGGCACGAAGTAAAATACCTTGAGCAAAATAGTCTGAAACTCCTGACGTCTTGCAATGCACGCTAGCACCCCCCAAATCTTCTGCAGATACTTCTTCTCCAGTAGCAGCCTATGGAAACATTTCCTTGCGATGAATATAGATTGTAAACATACACCTACAGATATGTATGTACTCATATGCATACAATTCATATGAAGTCTACCAGAAGGCTAGAAAATAACCTTCACAAGTGGGGGTCCTGCTAGAAATATGGTACCATTTCCTTTGACCATCACACTCTCATCAGCCATTGCAGGAATATAGGCACCGCCAGCAGTACAGGAACCTAATACCAGCGCAATTTGAGGAATGCCTTTGGCAGACATTAAAGCTTGATTGTAGAAAATTCTACCAAAATTCTCCCTGTCAGGAAAGACCTCGGCCTGCTTGGGAAGGAAAGCACCTCCACTATCAACAAGATACACACACGGTAATTTGCATTGATTGGCAATCTCTTGTGCCCTGAGATGTTTCTTAACAGTGATGGGATAATAAGTCCCCCCCTTAACAGTAGGATCATTAGCCACAAACATACAAAGTCGTCCATGGACCGGACCTATTCCAGTAATAATCCCAGCAGATGGTAAGGATTCTTCATATAGTTCATGGCCTGCAAGCTTATTATTAACAAAATATACAATAATGAGGCAAGAAATCAACTGGGTCCAATTAATTCATAATAAAAAATAAAACTTGCATCATGGTAAGATAAGATATGTGATTAATGGGATTTTTATTTCTAAAGTTGCGAGCTTCAATCAAAACCCAACTCATGGGAAGCTATAATTGATAGTGAAATGAAATGGGAAACCTGAGAAAGCTCCAGGAAAGAAGCGCCAGGGTCAAGCAGACGATCAATGCGTTCTCTGGGGAGAAGTTTATTTCTGCTCCTGTTTCTCTTCACAGCTACAGGTCCTCCTCCACCAAGAACCTTCCTCACACACACACACACACACACACATTCAGCCCAATATATACATACACAATCGCATGAAATAGCGAGAGAGAGAGAGAGAGAGAGAGAGAGAGACCTTTTCGATGTGGGATTGGAGGTCGGAGATTAAGAGGTCCATGGCCTTTGAGTTCCGAGAGAAGGCCTCTGAATTCCGATCAGCTCCATCGGGAAGAACTCCAAGGCTATAATCCCTCCTTGTTTGTACAATTTGAAATGCGCTCAGTGATGATTTCCATGAAGCAGACGCTGAAGCTGCTACTCTCCT